CTGGGCGCGGCCTACAGCGTGGCGCTGGTGGTGGCCTGCTACCTGCTGCCCTTTCTGCTCGCGTGCTTCTGCCACTACCACATCTGCAGGGCCGTGCGCCTGTCCGACGTTCGCGTGCGGCCCGTGACCACCCACGCGCGCGTGCTGCGCTTCTTCAGCGAGGTGCGCACCGCCACCACCGTGCTCATCATGATCGTCTTCGTCATCGGCTGCTGGGGCCCCTACTGCTTCCTGGTGCTGCTGGCCGCCACCCGGCAAGCACAGGCCGCGCGGGCCCCCTCGCTGCTCGATGTCGTAGCTGTGTGGCTGACCTGGGCCAATGGGGCCATCAACCCGGTCATCTATGCCGTCCGCAACCCCAACATTTCGATGCTCCTGGGGCGCAACCGCGAGGAGGGGTACCGGACTAGGAACGCGGGCACCTTCCTGCGCGGCCAGGGCCCGGCTCTGCAGGCTGGGAGCCGCAGTCGCCTTCGGAACCGCTACGCCAGCCGGCTCCGGGCCCGCAGCAGGAGGTCCTGTTCCACTCCGGCCAGCGGGGCGGGAGGGGAGCTGGCCATGTGGGCCCGCAAAAACCCAGTTGTGCTTTTCTGCCGGGAGGGACCACCGGAGCCTCTGACGGCAGTGGCCAAACAGCCTAAATCGGAAGCCCGGGATACCAGCCTCTGACTGCTAGGTTGGACAGCTCCGGAAGACGCACAGCCACCACCTTTGTTCAGTGGTACGGGATTCTTCGGAGACTCCTGGATTTCACAAAGCCAAACGACAAAACTACAGAGACAAAAGGGAAGGGTTACCGCTTCCTCCGAAACAACAGTAAAAGACAATGAATGTCCTCTTCTTCAAAAGTGCCGAAAGGAATGTAAAATGCAAAAATTAAAACAAATCTTAAACCACACAACCAAGCATTGTGAATTGTAAGTGCCAGAAAACAAAACTCACAATCACTGAAAAGCTCATTATAGGAATCACACTGTGAAACAAACAGAAATCACTGAATGCAATCAGTACGTGTTCAAACAGTAGAGTTTCAGGAATGGATTCCCTCGCAGCTGCTGGAAAGCCCGTCTCAATCACCAGCATTCCACGAAACCTCAGCTTCCACCACTGCACCTTTGACACAGGCTTCGAGTGAGCGCTTAGGCTTGCGAGCAGAAAATTCCCATTCTTACCTAATTGGTGCACTTCTCCCCCAAGTGTGTGATCTCTGTGGGAACTTTCAAATTCAGATCCTATTTAAAACCATTTTAGGATTTTGACCGGGTGGTTTATTATGAGACAAAATGCAGCTATCTGAAAGACAAATAAGAAATAGGGCAGGGCCGGGGATTTAGCTCAGCAATTTGGTGGCCTGCCTTGCAAGCACAAGGACCCGAGTTCAATCCCCTGTACCAAAAAAAGGGGGCGGATGTGCAAGCACAAGGACCCGAGTTCAATCCCCTGTACCAAAAAAAGGGGGCGGGGGCCTGCTTTTAAAAAGTATTTGGAGGCTCAGTGCTACAGTGCTTCCCTAGTTCAGCCCTGTGGTTGGTCCTCAACATGGCAGGAAAAAAGGATAAAAGGTAAGGTATTCCAAGATTATCCATCAAAATGAATGTCCCTTCCACCCCTGCCCCTCAGGAACTTGGAGATTGTACCCTTGCTCTAATCTGTTGCTCTTGCTTCTGCTGACTTTTAAGGTGCCACTGTCGGAATGCTTTCACATTTTAAAACTTGTTTGTTTCATAATAGAAAAATCTTTTTCTTTTGTGGTAAATTGGATGTTTTCATGTAGTCAAACTAATTTGAAGTCACACTGATTGAATAAGGTGAATATCCTATAAAGTAACAAGATTGGCGCCCTGTGTGGCTTTTTAACTAACTGAAGGAGATTCCAAAGAGCAAGTCTGAGAACAGCTGGGGGAGAGGGGGCGCCATTCTTGGAATAGCCACAGCTTTCTCAGAGATCACATTCTCCTACGTATGGAAGTTTGGGTATTTTTAATAGCCAATTGCTGCTTTATGATTATGACTCGTATAAAATACTCCAGTCTTCCTTAGAAAGGGTATGTAGGTGGTTAATTGGTATATGGAATAGGGCATTAAAAAGACAGTGTAAGGTTGGAGAAGTTTCAAGCAAACGATATCTGCAGAAACATGCAAAACAAAGACGTTTTTATAGTGATTTAAAAGTGCAATTGAGGACCTGTGAATATGAAATTTCTCACATTGAACACCACTGTACACTGATTTACTCAGAATTTTAAAGATGTTCTTTTGTCTACACCTCTTTCTTTCCTTCCATCCTGTTCCTGTTTTCTTCAATATTTCATGGCCTTAACTGAGTGAGTCCTTTACATTAGTTATGAAAAGATATCGCCTGTCATATAATGATTTCAGTGTGAAATAACCTGCATTTTTTTCTTGTAAGGTATCTAAGGGCGTTTGTCAATGTTTAAGTCTTTGTGTGGCATGTGGGTGTATGTTACTATTTTGTAATCAAGGCTGGAAATACATGATTTGTGTCAGAGCAAATATATTTTTTTTTTTTTTTGCTTTTCTGGGCATCAGCACCATCAGACGTTTGTAAGGTGTCTGTATACTGTACCACACTCATTATAGCTCAAAGTAGATGAGATAACCTCTCCTCCCCAGCACTTACTACTATAAAACATATAGACTTTGTGCAGCTATACCAACATTTAACAGAAATCTGCAGTCTTTGCTTGTTGAATGAAAAGAAAAAAATATATTAAAAAATGATCCTCAAAGAAACCAGTATAACTGATGAAAACTACTTTGAAACTAAAGCTTGTAATCTCTTGAGATTGGCTTAAGATTCAGAGAGTGAACAAATATTGATTCAAGAAACTCTGCTAGAGTCTGGAATAATAGTGAATGTGCGGCTTTTGGGGTACATTCCGTCCTCTTTCCCTCTCACCGGCTCTCATAGCAGAAAGTCCACTGCAGGTGGACACAGTTGAGAGCATAGGGCCTACTCGCCCGGCTCCCGGACACAGACGATGATAATTTCCCTGGAAGGCGAGGTCATGAGAAGTTGCCTCTCTGGCTACAAGTTGAAGATGCTAAAGTCTAGTATATCCAAGAAATTAGAAATTCTTTATTTCCATCCCTCAGCCCTAAGCATAAGGCAGATGCCTTACTTCAGTTGTGTTATGCTGAGAAGGCTGGGGCTGTGGTTGTCCTCAACTCAGCTGACTTGTAGCTCTGAGGCTGTATACCAGAATAGGCACTGAGAAAACCAGACTATCGCCCCTACCCAGTGCCTGCTCTTAAGGAAAAATGTCCACTCCTAGAAAGAAAGGCCATTGTCCCTGCTCCTGTCATCAGAGCTGTGGCTCAGGGAATTTGTTCAGTAGTAGAGACTGGCCTTCAGACAGACAGACTGATGCTTTTGATATAGGGGGATGACATGTAACTTCCAAACCTGCTAGAGATTCAAAATGCGAATTTGTGTTCTCTAAAAATTGAAGAATGAATTCTAGGAAGAATGGAGGTTAAGAGTGAGAAAAATTTATTGAGGGAGAGAAAGCTTCTGTCTAAGAGAGGCAAAAGGGGGACTGGAAAGGGAGCTGCCTGCCCACCCCACTTTTCAAAGATGTTTAATACAGCAAAGCCATGTGGGAGGGGGGTACAAAGTGGGACTAAACTGTAAGACCCAGTGGGAAATTACAAGGTGGGCATGAGGAGGGGCAAAACTGTGACCAACCAATAAGGTTGGTTATCACCCAGGTAATATTGATGAAATTGGGGTCAAATGGAGGAGCAAGTCACATAGCAAGCATACAAGGATTTCCAGTAAGGGTGGGGGTCAGGGATATTTCCTGGAAAGGCTGGGTTAAAACCTTGCCCCCACATCCAGGGGACTGATACCTATTTAGAATATCAATCACTGCTATTTATCCCTAGGGGAAGCACAGGGATGTAGTAGTTTCTCTACTTTTACAATTCAACTATAGGCGGTAGATTACCAGAGAGAACAAGGAAATGAACCAGCCAAGGAGATCATTCTGATTTCTATCAGAACAGACAACGGACCTCAAAAATTTTACCCAGGCAATTTAGTCACATTGTGAAGCAATTTATGCAATCCTCAGAGCATTGCCAATAACAGCAGAGACATTAGCCAGAAATTTGTGACCACTGGGCATGGTTGGAGAAAGGACAAAGAGATTCCTACTAAAAACACTGTCATCTGAGAGTGACTTGGAATACTCAAGGAGGGCTGAGGAACACCCTCCCCCAGGATTCACGCTGCAGAACAAAATGGCTTCCCCAAATTAGTCCAGCCAGTGGCTAAACAAATAAGCAACAGCGAGCCTCGGAGCCCTGTGTCTTTTCTTTTATATGCATTTCTCCAAAAAGCACAGAGAGGATTATTTAAAAATCTAGTTGAATCCCATTTTTTTTCAGAAGTGTTCCATCATTTACAGTAGGATTTATCTCTACCACATTATCTTATGTTTGTGTTCTCCACCATTTCTTCTGTGCGCTTCTTTATTTTCTACTTTTGTCAATTTATTTTTGTTTCCTCAAAATGTACAATTGGTTTTGATTTGTTGTCTGAGACAGGGTCTCCCTATGTAGTTCAGACTGGCTTTGAAGTCACTGTGTAGCCCAGGTTGTCCTCCTGCCTCAGCCTCCCAGTACTGGAACTACAGGTGTATGTGACCACACCCAGCTAATACGGATGACTGGAACTCACATTAAGTTGTTTCTTTCAGAGCCTGCCCTTCATAGTGTCATGCTCACAGCTAAGGCTAGAGTTGCTCCATATCTCACTCTCCTTCAGAAAAACACAGGTGCTTTGACTGAATATTTCAATGCTCTATCTTACACGCTTTAGGGATGCAAGGCTGGTTCAACATATGTACATCAATAAATGTAATACACTCTATTAACAGAGTCAAGGACAAAAATAGAGGCAGAAAAAGCATTTGACAAAAGTCAACACCCATTCATGATAAAAACCCTGCAAAAAATAGGAGTAGATGGTCTATAGCTCAACTTAATAAAGGCTATCTATGAAAAACCAACAGCCAACATCATATTAAATGGCCAAAAACTGAAAACCTTCACGTTAAAATCAGGAACAAGACAAGGATGCCCACTATCAACACTCCTCTTCGATATAGTTCTGGAAACATTAGCCACAGCAATTAGACAAGAGAAAGAAAGCAGTAAAGATAGGAAAGGTAGAAGTTCAACTGTCATTATTTGCTGACAATATGATACTCTACATTGAAGATCCAAAAAGCTCCACCAAAAGACTTCTACACTTAATTGACACTTTCAGCAGAGTAGCTGGATACAAGGTCAACACCCAAAAATCAATAGCCTTCTTGTACACAAATAACAGACTCACTGAGAGAGAAATTAGGGAAACAATTCCTTTCTCAATAGCATCCAAAAAAGTGAAGTATCTAGGAATCAACCTAACGAAGCAAAAGACCTCTACACTGAAAACTATAGCACTCTGAAAAAAGAGATCGAAGAGGATATAAGAAAATGGAAAGATATCCCTTGCTCCTGGGTAGGAAGAATCAACATAGTGAAAATGGCCATACTATCAAAACTGCTATACAGATTCAATGCAATGCCAATTGAAATTCCAACACTATATTTCGTAGAACTAGAAAGAAGAATCCAAAAATTCATTTGGAACGATAAGAGACCTAGAAGAGCAAAAGCCACCCTAGGCAACAGACACATGGCAGCGGGTATAACAATTCCCAATTTGAAACAATACTACAAAAC